CTATGATGGAGAATGGAACGAAGGGGGGAAGGGGGAAGACTGCGAGCGGTTTGCCAATGGACACGATGAACACGGTACACGCAGCGCACAGGATAGGGTGGTACAATCTATAGAAGATGTCTGCGAAGTAGGCCATCTAGATTGCCGAGTAGGCGTCTGTAGTTTGTACCCTGCGGGAAAGAAGTATAGGGTCTATGATAGGGAGGATGGCCAGCAAAACAACCATGGGAGAAAACGTGCATGTTATTTAACGTGACTTGTAACTTATTTAGCACTTAATACAAAGCTGTACGCGAAAAAGACTTTTGGCTGTCAGTCAGAACAGGGCGAGGCTCAGGAGCCTACACAAGAGGGCAAAGCGCGGAGTCAGAGCCTACACAACAGGGACAAGCGCGCTTTGCTTCACCTTAACTTTACAAAACGAACCAGTTGTTTGAACAGCTATTTCAATTTCAGTTTTTATTCAACATCGACTGAGCAAGCAAAACAAGTGCACGAAATTAATCGCAAAAAACAACAAAGCCCGTGGTGATCAACAAAGAAAAGGAGAGCAAAGCAAAAAGGGGAGGAGCCCAAAGGCAAAAAGGCGCGCGCGCAAAAGGGGGGAGCACAAAGACAGCAGAGCAAGAGCAAGGAGTCGACAGCAAAAGAGAAGAGCGGAAAGCAGTTTTCACAACAGTAAGGTGTGTGTGTGTGTGTGTGTAGAAAAGGATACAATTTGGATGATTGATTGGTAGTCGACACAAATGCGATGAGATCCAAGTGTTTTGATCAGAAGGCAAGCAGTCGAATATGCGAGTGGTTGAGTGCGTGTAAGTAAATATGCGAGTGTGTGTGTGAGTGTGAGATGTGCAAAAAATGGCGCATGCAAGAAAAGAGCAAGACGGTACGTCGACGGAGGACGAGGAGCGAAAGAGAAAACTCGGGTTGTTGCTGATGACGACGGGGCGGGCGCGCGGAGTTCAAAAAGAAAAGGTAGAGGTAATAGTGGTATGCGGTGATATTATAAGAAAAAAGAGGAGCTAGGTTGAC